AGCTCTCAAAGCAAGCAGCTGTCTCATCTGCTTGCACATTTCTAATGACAGAGAGTTCACCTCCCTTCAAAACAGTCAAAGGTAGAATTTGAAATGACTAAGAAAGTTGAGTAAAATAAAAGACTATCAGGGCAGGTCCTCAACTAAATTGACTAAATTGGTAAATGCAGGTAACCCAGGTGACTTGTCACTTCTAGTTCCTCCCCTCTCATCATTATTGCCACTTCTTTTTTTTTTTTTTTTTATCTTATTTTTTTTTTTTTTTAAATAGAGACGGGATTTCATCATATTGGCCAGGATGGTCTTGAACTCCTGACCTTGTGATCCACCTGCCTCTGCCTCCCTAAGTGCTGGGATTACAGGCTTGAGCCATTGTGCTCACTAGAAAGAACTACTTTAAATTTCATATGGAACCGAGAAAGAGCCCGTATAGCCAAGACTGTCTTAAGCAAAAAGAACAAAGCTAGAGGCATCATGTTACCTGACTTCAAACTATGCTACAAGGCTACANTGCATTCCTGTAATGACTAATGATGTTGAAGATCTTTTCATCTGCTTAATTTGCCATCTGTATATCCTCGTCAGTAAAGTTTCTCTTCATGGGTTTTTTATTTTATTTTTTTTTAAATAGAGACGGGATTTCACCATGTTGGCCAGGATGGTCTCCATCTCTTGACCTTGTGATCCACCTGCCTCTGCCTCCCAAAGCGCTGGGATTACAGGTGTGAGCCACCATGCCCAGCTCATTATTGCCACTTCTTGAGGCCTTTATTCTCTTTCCCATTTTCTGCTGGGCCTTACTTTCAGCTGAGGGTTAAGGAAACTCCACAGTGGTGGCCAAACGTGCTTCACAAACCGGGAGACCAGACAGTATGCCATGGAGTCCTTGAACTCCAAGATGAACATGGAGTCTATTGTGAAGCATCGTTTTTATTTGAAGAGCTAACATTTTTATGTTAAATATATATACAGTATGGAAAAGCATATAGGCATGGTTTTAAATAGCACAGGACTTTAAAGAAATTGATCAAAATCTTTTGGGCTGAGTCCTCAGACTCCTGGGGGTTAAGAATTCACTCTTGGTTTGATGAGTTACTTTGGTGGAAAATACAGGAGAAGTAATACTGGCTTAATATGCTGTCGTCTTATACCCCCGGGGGCATTTGCATTTCCATTGGTTTCTTTTGGAGACTGAAAAGCCTTTAAAGCCAGGAGGAATCAATGCGTAATGGTGGAGTTTCAGGCTGCATGAATTGGGGTAGAGGGACAGATATTATCCAGCAGAGACATTGCATTCATAAAGAACATTTCCTAGTGATCTGTCAGCCTTTAACAAGCAATTCCATTTCAGGATAGGTATAGTAAATGCTTTGACAATGTTTGGGCAAGTAACTTAACACTTCTAAACCTCAGTTTCCTTAGCTATAACATTAAATTAATTCATAGAGGTGTTGTGAGCTACTGTATAGAAAGTAATTTGGGCTGGGCGCAGTGGCTCACGCCTGTAATCCCAGAACTTTGAGAGGCCAAGGCGGACTGATCATGAGGTCAGGAGATCGAGATCATCCTGGCCAACATGGTGAAACCCCATCTCTACTAAAATACAAAAAATTAGCCAGGCATGGTGGTGTGCGTCTGTAGTCCCAAATACTTGGGAGGCTGAGACAAGAGAATTGCTTGAACCCGGGAGGGGAAGGTTGCAGTGAGCCGAGATCATGTCATTGCACTCCAGCCTGGCAGTGCATATAATAATGTTTATTATATGTTGGGCACTGAGCAAAGTGCTTTTTTTTTTTCAAGTACTTTGCTCAGTGCCCAACATATAATAAACATTTAATAAACAGCAGTTCTTACTAGCACTAATCATAAAGTTAACATATGTTTAGTCAGACCTACCCCTACATCTGTGGGCCTAGTGCAAAAATATGAATGGAGCCAAAACCTAAAATGCAATAAAATAAATGGGAAAAAAAATAAAAAAAAATTTAAAAATAAATAAATAAATAAATAAATAAATTTAAGAAAGCTGAAATCATACCGAGAATATTTTCTAAACAAATTGATACGAAATTAGAAATCAGTAACGGGAGGAAAACTGGAAAATTCAAAAATCTGTGGACATTAATACACTCTTAAGCAACCAATGGATCAAAGAATAAACTAAAAGAAAAAAAAAATATATATATATATATATAAATGGAGAACCATAAGCTCACAAACTGTTAACTTTTTTGTTAACAAACAAGCTAACAGACTGTTAAAAAATCATAAAATATGATGTATACTTCTACTTTTGAAACAAAATTGAGAACTAATTTTTCTATGACCGAATATCAGCAAATTTTAAAGTTGACTGATCTTTAATTTTCTGCACATAATTGGCAGTTCTGTTGTTTGGCTGATGTTTGGATACATAATAACAAAGGCATGCATAATTTATACATGACTATATGTTTACTATATAAAAATTATTTTTTATTGTGTTTATTTTTAGCAAAATTACAGTTATGCTTTTACAATCAGGATTTTTACATAATTTATGTTCAAAGATAGTAATACCAAATTCGACATCCTTTCTCAGCCATTGTATTCTTATTTTTAAAGTAATTTCAACATGGAGAAAACTTACGGAATAGCAGCCGAAATTGTCAAAGTTATTGTAACATTTACATCCAGAAATTGGCAATTGATTTTACATATAAAGTTCAAATACTATGATGGGATCTTATAATAAATTATTGTTATAATAGAAAATACTACAAAAATTTTTAATTTCATGATATAAATCTATCCTTTACATTGCAGTTTTCACCTTCTCTAAAAACAATATCTAGATCCACGAACTATTTTTGATAAGTTCTTTTTTTTTAATTTTTAATAACCCTAAAGTGATCACAATAGAAATCAGTTTAGGGATTATTTGTATGTGCACATTCTCTTTTATAGTGATGGAACATTTTTTAAATCTTTTTTTTTCTTTTGTTGTGATATAACACTTTTGTTTACTTGTTCTGGTTTTTAAATATTTTATAGGAGAAATGTCACATTTGTTACATATTTTACATGCAGTTTATTTCAATTTAGAGTAACTATTTTCTCTAAATAAAAAAATTTAATCGTAAAAAGGTAAAATAGACAAGCTCATTATTTGGTTCAAGTTTTTGGAGTTTCCACAAGCTTTTGTACCATCATTAAAAACAACAGTTTCTATGAAATAATTGTAGATAGTGCAGATTCAAAAATAATTTTCTACCAAAGATCATTTCTTTTTTTGCAAACTAATGCAGGAACAGAAAACCAAATACTACATATTCTCACTTATAAGTGGGAGCTAAATGATGAGAACTCATGAACACAAAGAAGGAAACCACAGGGACCGGGAGGGGTGGCTCAAGCCTGTAATCCCCGCACTTTGGGAAGCTGAAGTGGGTGGATCATTTGAGGCCGGGAGTTCAAGACCAACCTGACCAACATGAAGAAACCCTGTCTCTACTAAAAATACAAAATAAGCCAGGTGTGGTGGTGCATGCCTTAATCCCAGCTACTCGGGAGGCTGAGGCAGGAGAATCGCTTGAACCCAGGAGGCAGAGATTGTGGTGAGCTGAGATTGCACTGCTGTACTCCAGCCTGGGCAAGAAGAGCGAAATTCCATCTCAAACAAAAAAAGAAGAAAACAGCAGACACTGGGGGCTACTTGAGGGTGGAGAGTGGGAAGAGGAGCAGAAACGATAACTATTGGGTACTGGGCTTAATACCTGGGTGATATAATAACATGTACAACAAACCCCCATGACACGTTTATCTACATAACCTTTACATGTATCCCCAAACCTAAAATAAAATTTCTAAAAAAAGATCATGATTCTTTTTATTTAAGGATTCTCTTTTATTGCTCATACTCTTCCAGTGCATCTTGTTATCTGGTGTAAATAAAATTTTGTTGTTTTAATAGCTTTTCGTCACCGTTCCTTCTGTGTGCCCAAAAGTGTTTGTAGTGACAAATATAACAGGGTTTTCAAGTTGTTTCATCTTTGGGCAGATACAGAAAATATCCTATGTAATTGTTGAATTGTTCTAAAGATGCAATCACCTATTTGGCCCAGCTGAGAACATGTCCTTTAATAAGAAATTCAAACTATGCATCATACATGGCTCATAATAAATGGTTGTTTCTTACCAATTGCCATTATCATTAGCTTGCCGTCATTATACTTTTAAATCAATGCCTGATCTTCAAAGTTGCATTTTCAATTCTACTTTTTACAATAGGTATAAAACCAGTAACATACAAAATTTTGACTTCAATTTTTATCATTTGATGGTTCATCAGATGACAGTTCATCAGATGATAAATATTAGTTGCTCAGTATGATTTTGTCCTAATATAATTTATCTAAATTGGTTACTATTAATTTAAAAATTGTATCTATAATTTCTTTTGTCACCTTTAATAATATTTTGAATTCTCCATTTCAAGAAATATGATCTTTCAAAATTCAATTCTTTTTTTTTTTTTTTTTGAGTCAGGGTCTTGCTCTGTTGCCCAGGCTGGAGTGCAATGGTGTGATCTTGGCTCACTGCAACCTCTGCCTCCTGGGTTCAAGCGATCCTCCCGCCTCAGCCTCCCTAGTAGCTGGGACTACAGGCATGTGCCACGATGCCCAGCTAATTTTTTGTATTTTTTAGTAGAGACAGGGTTTTGCCATGTTGATCAGGCTGGTCTCGAATTCCTGACCTCAGGTGATCCACCTTCCTTGGTCTCCCAAAGTGCTGGGATTACATGTGTAAGCCACTGCACCTGCCCTAAAATTCATTTTTATCTATATATGTTTGGCTATTTTAGCATCAAATTTGAAAGTTATTTTTTCTACCAGACTAGAACATTTCCATTGTTTTCTATGAATATTGCACTGTTACTGTTCCATCCAAGGCTTGCCTAAGTATGGCACATCTGAGACTGTTCTCTTAAGAGTATCATAGCAGGCTTTGCAGATGCCACTGCCTCCTGGAGACTTGTAGTATCAGCCATGGTCAATCCCACCGTGTTCTTCGACATTGCCATCGTCGGCGAGCCCTTGGGCTGCATCTCTTTCGAGCTGTTTGAAGACAGGTTTCCAAAGACAGCAGAAAACGTTTGTGCTCTGAGCACTGGAGAGAAAGGATTTGGTTATAAGGGTTCCTGCTTTCACAGACTTATTCCAGGGTTTATGTGTCAGGGTGGTGACTTCACACACCATAATGGCACTGGTAGCAAGTCCATCTATGGGGAGAAATTTGATGATGAGAACTTCATCCTAAAGGACACAGGTCCTGGCATCTTGTCCATGGCACATGCTGGACCCAACATAAACGGTTTCCAGTTTTTCATCTGCACTGTCAAGACTGAGTGGTTGGATGGCAAGCATGTGGTCCTTGGCAAGGTGAAAGAAGGCATGAATATTGTGGAGACCATGGAGTGCTTTGGGTCCAGGAATGGCAAGACCAGCAAGAAGATCACCATTCCTGACTGTGGACAACTCGATTAAGTTTGATCTGTGTGTTATCTTAACCACCAGACCATTCCTTCTGCAGCTCAGGAAAGCAGCCCCCACCCCATTTGCTCGCAGTGTCCTAGATTCTTTGTGCTCTCGCGGCAGTTCCCTGTGAGTTCCATGTTTTGCTGGTTCGCTTCCATGCTTTGCTGGTTCGCTTCCATGCCTAGCTAGGTTGCAGAGTAAAGTTTATGATTATGAAATAAAGACTAAATAACAAAAAAAAGAATATCATAGCAATATTGTATATTAGTATTTATTTATTTGTGGAATACTATTGACTATTTGTGTTGTTTCAGCCTTTTTTTTTTTTCCTGTTCTAGTATTTGCACATACATTTTTTGGGGGCAGGATGCAAATAACATTTTGTATTCTTTTGAGAACCTAAGTATTTCCAGTCACAGATTCTTTCACTGGACAAAGCTGACTGTGAAGATAGACTGAAATATGTAATAATAGTGACAAAATATTTTGTCTTTTAATGCAGAATATTTTAAAAAGTTTATACAGTTTCTTTCTCTATGGGGGAAAAAACTTTACAATAATACAAAATATTAACTTTTCTGCCCAGTTTGTTCAGTGAAAAATTTATAACCAACAACTTAAATCAACTTACATTTTTCTGGAAATGTTCTCAGATTTCAGGAAACTGTGACAAACTTTTCTAGAATCCCCTTCCAATAAACAGTAAAGAGGTAAAAGTTTTTAATCCCTCTTGTCAAATTTGCCAATTTGCCAATTTCTTTATCTTCCAATGGGTAGGCCACACTTGCCCATTGGACTTCACATCCCATATTCGATATAAAAATATGAGTTGTGAATTTGATATATAAGTATCTTTCTCACTGTCTTGTTTTAATCATGAAAGAAACTTCATGTAAAGAACATGAAGTTACAGGTGTTTTATCTGATCTGTTGAAGTTGTAGATTTGCTCGGCACACTTTTCTTGCTTATTTTCGCTGTTTTTCTCGGTAACTAAATCTTTCCTGAACAAGGAATTTGTAATGTTTGTTTGTGAATTGTATGTGGGCCATGCTCAGAAAAAAATTAAAGCTGACCGCCTTCGTGAATATGTTTTTTCTTTTCCATCCTTATTTTTCTAAGCTTCACTTTCATGTTTTGTAGTTCTATCACAATCTTCTTGTTTTCAGTCTCAGTGATCTAAAGAATTAAGATAAAATGTAATCATGTTCAAAGGATTCCAAATTTGAATATATTTCATCAAAAATGTAATTAGTGTTAAAATACTAGAAAATTAAAAACATTTCCTATATTGTCCAAAAAGTTATTTTTCTGCTAAAATAGCCAAAATTATTGATTAAAGCTTAAAAGTAAAATACAAATAGTAACTAATGAATACTGATATTTAAATAAAAATTTCAAATAAACTTAGTTTTTACTTAGCTTTAAATTTACTCATTATATATTTTCATAAACATTATCTGCTATTTTTACATTTAATGTTTGATGCTTCATTTATTCTATATCTAGACAATGTATAAAAAATTAAAAGTAGTATTTTTTAAATTGCAAAAGGTTCTTTAGCTGCCATGTGTAACTGCTGCAAACACTGCAGTAATTTATAAGTACCCACAAACTGGAACTTGAAGAAAGCAAGAAAATGGATGCTCATTACTCCTGGGAAATGCTACATTATTTTCTAAGAATCTACAGCATTCGTGACATCTGAGAGGAAAGGTTTGACAAGTATTATTAATTTGTCTTTTCTCTTCCCTAAGTGCTTCCACAGCTTAGACTCTCCTTGCACTCACATTCCTCAGCAATGTCCTTTCGTGATGCTGGCAGCAGCACAGCCCGTGATTCTTGAGGACATTTGGGTAGTCACCTTTTGTTTCTGGGACAGAGGAACATTTTTCATGGTTTGAATGGTGTTAGTCACCAGAGTGGCTGTTTAGGGTATCTTCGGTGGTCACCTGATTTCATATATTCTTTAATACGTTTGCCTTTTTATGTGTCTTTTCTAAACATGAGGTCTAAGGTAGGGCTTCCTGCTGATGAGACCTAGGGCTGTCCTGAGCTCAGTAAAAAAATCCAACACTGCTTATATGTACAACCCACATGTATAAAATAGAAATAGGTTCTCCCCACAAGTACTTGAATAAATCGCTATGCAAACAGTTTGTTGTTTATTTTTCCAGACTTAAAAAAATACTAACACACACACACACACACACACACACACACACACACACATATTTTTTGAGACAGAGTCTCACTCTATCACCCAGGCTGGAGTGCAGTGTTGCAATCTTGGCTCATTGCAACCTCCCCCTCTCGGATTCAAGCGATTCTTGTAACTTAGCTTCCAGAGTAGTTGGGATTACAGGTGTGTGTCACCACACCCGGCTAATTTTAGTAGAGACAGGGATTCACCATGTTGGCCAGGCTGGATGCACATATTTTGTACAAAATTTTAAAAAATATGTAAATGAGATCATGATATGAAAACTTGGAGAAGTTTCTTTTCCCATTTAACAATGTATTATGCACTATTTTCTGTTGCTTCATACAATTTATTAACTTTATTTTATTCCTAACTAAAGATTACACAATTTTTTTTTTGTGAGACAGGGTCTTGCTCTGTTGCCCATGCTGGAATGCAGTGGCATGATCTCGGCTCACTGCAACCTCTACCTCTTGGGTTCAAGTGATTCTCCTGCCTCAGCTTCCTGAGTAGCCAGGATTACGGGCACCTGCCACCACGCCTGGCTAATTTTTTGTATTTTTAGCAGAGACGGGTTTTCGCCATGTTGGCCAGGCTGGTCTCAAACTCCTGACCTCATGATCTGTCTGCCTTGGCCTCCCAAAGTGCTGGGATTACAGGTGTGAGCCACTGTGCCCAGCCAAATTTTTGTATTTTTGGTGTAGATGGGGTTTTGCCATGTTGGCCAGGCTATTCTCAACTTCCTGACCTCAGGTGATCTGCCCACCTCGGCCTCTCAAAGTGCTGGGGTTACAGGCGTGAGCCACTGTGCCCAGCCTGATTACACTGTTTTTAAAGCCAATTCCTTTCTGATTGTCATTTGTTTATTCTCTATTCTTTAAATTTTTGTCACCATAAAAACCCTACAGCAAATGTCCTTGGATAGGTTACTTGGTTTTCACTATGTTTAAATTCATGACTGCATTTGGTCAATACAGCTAATTTATAAGTGTTAGAAATAAACTACACGTATCTTCTATGGGATCACTTAGTCCCTGCTTCTATTTTACATATTCTGAAAGCTTTCTTAAAGATATTTCTGGGCAATCTAGAAAAAGTTCTAGATGAAAATTTTATACAAATGTGCATTGTCTGCAATCCAACCCAAGGCAGTTTGATACATTAGTGTATTAAGCTTTCTTGCTCAGAAACGGCAGAAAGATCTATATTAGTTAGGAATAGCAAATGGAAACTCAAGTATATATATTTATACATTTAATTATTTTTCTTTTAAAATAAATATAAAATACCTTCTTTTATATTTATTTTAATGTATTATGAGATATAAATCCATCTTATTGTCATATATATGATCTACATGAACAATTAAGATGGATACATATACATCTCTGTATCTGTGTGTGTGTGTGTGTGTGTGTATACAAGCTTTGTTTGGAGCTAGAAAGTAGCAGATCCAGGATTCAAATTTGGATGTGGCTGTTAGTCTTGCCAACATACCATGCCAGTCGTCTTGCCACCATATCATGCTTTGTAGTAGGTATTAGAGCTTGGTGGTAGAGGGCAGGGGTGACTTCAAAGAACATCTAGTTTTTTTTCAATGTAAGAAAAAATATGTATAAACAGCAAACTTATCACAGTCATTACATTTAGGGAGTGGAGAGGCATTGACGAGAAGAGAAAAGGGAATTTTGCATTTCTATATTGCTTGACTTTTTAAAATAATGAGAATGAGTTCGTGTTGTATTGTCAGATTTCAATAATTAAGGAAAAATAATCTTGTACATAGTTGGTGGCAATGGCAAATAATCCAGCCATGTTTGAAAACAGTTTGGAAGTTCTTTGTAAAGTTAAAGAACTCATATGACCCAGCAATTAAATTCTTAGACATTTACCCAGGAAAAAATGAAAGCATAGCCTGCAAAAAGATGTGTACACAAATATTTAAAACAGTTTTATTCATAATCACTGGAAACAATGCATACATCCATCAATTGATGATTTGATAAATAAGTTGGGGATACGTCTAGTCCGTACAATGGAGTATAACTCAGTTATAAAAAGTAACAAACTGCTGATATATGCAACAACATGGCTGAATCACAACAGCATTTTGCTAAGACTGACACAAAAGATTACATGTGTGATTCTACTTATACAATATTCACTGAAAGGGACAGCTAAAGGGACAGAAATCAGATCGGCGATTGCTGGGGTTGGAAGAGGGTTGGAAGAGAGCTTTGACTACAAAATGGCACTAGAGATCTTTTCGGAGTGATAGAAATATTCTATATCTTTATTGTAGTTACACAACTGCAGACAATTTTTGTTTTTGAAATGGAGTCTCACTTTGTCACCCATGCTGGAGGGCAGTGACGCAATCTGGCTCACTGTAACCTCCACCTCCTGGGTTCAAGTGATTCTGGTGCCTCAGCCTCCCGAGTAGCTGGGATTACAGGAACCTGCCATCACACCCAGCTATTTTTTGTATTTTCAGTAGAGATGGGCCAGACTGGTTTTGGACTCTGACCTCAGGTGATCCACCCGCCTCAACCTCCCAAAGTGCTGAGATTACTGGCATAAGCCACCATGCCAGGCCAACTGTAGACATTTGTTAAAACTTATTAAACTCTAAGTTGAAAAGGGATTATAGTTTGTCATAAATTATAGCTTGCATTATTACTATTATATAAATATATATTACATAGTTCTTTTCTATCTAATTTTATTATATATGTATTATCTGTTATTATATTACCTAATTATAGGTAAAATGCAGGGTATGTAGCTATTCAGTATGGCTGTACAGAG